CCTGGCAGTCCTGGTGTGATCCAGCAGGGACACAGTGCTGCCAGACCTCTGGCATGTGGAGGAAGGAAGTGTCCCTACCTCCTCCTTGGTGCCTTACACTTCACTTCCACATGTGGTTAAAAATCATTGGCACTCATCAAGATTAACTCAAAGCAGGTTGGTTGCAGAGGAAGCAAAAACTAACTATCCCCATGATTTTCTAACCCCTATGGGGTTAAAAAAGGTTCTCTTTATCACCTCTTTGTAGGGACAAGATCTTGCTCTCCTCAGGTAGAAGCCTTTTTATTCTAATACCTTGTTTCCCAGCACATCAGAAGGAGGTGCTGAGGGGTGTTTGTGCACAAATGTCTTGTACCTGAAGCATCTGATCAGCCTGGTGGTGGGTTTTGGGGTGCTGGGAGGTACCCAGGGTTGTGGGGAGCAGTGAGGTTGGGTTGTGGGGCAGACAGTGATGCTGGGTTTCTTTTTGTGTTCCACAGGTACCACCCACGTGTTCTGTACATTGACATTGACATCCACCACGGGGATGGGGTGCAGGAGGCCTTCTACTTGACTGACCGTGTCATGACTGTGTCATTCCATAAATATGGGAACTATTTCTTTCCTGGCACAGGTGGGTGTTTTCCCTTGTGGCAGGAGCCTGGCCTCACTGCAGCATCCTTGCCATCATCGGATCATGGAATGGGTTGGGTTGGAAGGAACTTTAGAGATATCTAGATCCAACCCCCTGCATAGGCAGGGACACCTCCCACCAGCCCAAGTTGCTCCAAGCCCCATCCAACCTGCCCTTCAACACTGCCAGGGATGGGGCAGCCACAGCTTCCCTGGGCAGCCTGGGCCAGGCTCTCACCACCCTCACAGCCCAGAATTTCCTCCTCATATCTCACCTCAATCTCCCTCTTCTGGTTTTCATCCATCCCCCTCCCTGCCCTTGTCCCAGGTCTCCCCAGCTTTCCTGGAGCCCCTTCAGGCACTGGAAGCTGCTCTAAGGTCTCCCTGGAGCCTTCTCTTCTCCAGGCTGAACACCCAACTCTCCCAGCCTTCTCAATCCCTTGAAAGCTGCTGGAGTGGGAAGGTGTAAAACCACAAAATTCGAGCTGCAGGGAGAAATGATAGAAGAAAGAAAGTAGAAGAGCAATCTGAGGGGAACTTAACTGTAAGGCAAAGGGATCCCAGCTGGGTTAAGAGGTCTCAACCCAGACCAGATCTGCCTTTCCAGGCCTCTGAAGCCTCAGGGCTGTTGTGACTCTGCTGCCTTTCCCTGCCAGGTGACATGTATGAGGTGGGTGCAGAGAGCGGCCGTTACTACTGTCTCAACGTGCCCCTCCGGGATGGCATTGATGACCAAAGTAGGTGTTCCCCACCCTTCCCTTCCACCCAGGCGCTGGCTCAGCCTTCTGCTCCACAGCCATGACAAGTCTCTCCTTCTCTCCCAAGGTTATAAACACCTTTTCCAGCCAGTCATTAACCAGGTGGTAGATTACTATCAGCCCACCTGCATCGTGCTGCAGGTGAGGAGGCAGTGCTCTGTGGGGTTGGAGGGGGCTGTATCCATGGGTTACCTGCTGTTCCCAGGGGATCAGGGGTGGTGTGTCCTAGCCCAGCTTCTCTGTGTAACCCCAGGGGATGCTGATGTGTGTCTGGAAAGCAAGGCCTCCATAGCCAAAACTCAGCTGTCCTTTTTCTGTTTCCCCAGTGTGGTGCTGATTCTCTGGGGTGTGACCGTTTGGGTTGTTTCAACCTCAGTATAAGAGGACACGGGTGAGTACAGCAGAGCAGGGGCAGAGCAGGTGGTTGAAAGGCTGTCCTTTAGTCTGTAGGGCTCTAATGAGTCCTCTGCTGTGAGGCTTGAGCTTTAACTTCAGCCTTCCAGCAGCACCAACAGGTTTTTGGGGGGCTTTTTTTAACCCCTGTGTGACAGGAGTGAGTCTGAGAATGAGCACGTGGTTCAGGTGTAAGCCCTGGGCTCCAGGTGTGTCGCACCAGCCCTGCTGGGGTTTGGGTGCATGTCTGATGGTGTGGATGTGTGCTACAGGTAAAAACTCTGACTTGTTTGTGGTTTGGGCTTTCTAGGGAGTGTGTGGAATATGTCAAGAGCTTCAACATCCCCTTGCTGGTACTGGGAGGAGGTGGTTACACGGTGCGCAACGTGGCACGGTGCTGGTGAGTCTCTCCTGGGCTGGTGAGTGAGTCTCTCCTGGGCTGGTTGAAGGCCTCTGGTTGAGGAGTTGCTGTGGGCTTTGTCCCTGCACACACCATGGAGCTCTCTCTGGACTGAGCTCATTCCAAGCTCATTTATTCCATGTTTGCAGGACTTACGAGACGTCACTGCTGGTAGATGAAGCCATCAGTGAGGAGCTCCCTTACAGTGGTAAGCTGGAGTTCCATTTCTTCCTTCTTAGCTGAGCTAAAGTATTTGTTGTATCAACTGGAGAATGAACACTTCCATTCTCCCTTGACCAGAGATAAGATGAGGGCCAAAGTGACAGCTCTTTCTGATCTTGGAGATGGCCTTGGTCTCCTACGTCCCACTTGTAGGCTTTGCTGGGCAGACACCACCTTCCCCTGTCATCTATCATTTCTGTTTAGTGACCTGAGCATTACTTTTGCTGCCTCTGATGTTTCATGTAACTCCCTGTGGTGGCAGAGCTGTACCTCACTGAGCTTTTTAAGATCTGGTCATCCCTGGTGTGGTGGCAGAGTGGGCTCTGTCCTCTGCAGAGCAGCCGGTGGCTGAGCTCCACACCTCTGCACTCTTGACTCTTTTTGTCTTCCATCCCAGAGTACTTTGAATACTTTGCTCCAGACTTCACCCTTCATCCTGATGTCAGTACAAGGATTGAAAACCAGAACTCCAGGCAGGTGAGTCCTAACAGCCCCACTAGAGGGTCACCAGGAGCTCCCAAAGCCCTGCTGGGGATGCTCTGCCCTGTGAAACCAGGTGGAGCCCAGGCAAGGAACACTTGTGGGACAGAAAGCTGACTAAGGGCAAGCAGAGCCTTTTCCTCTGAGCTGTCAGGGAGTCTCAAAGTCTTTAAAGCCCTTGCTGGATTGTCTCACTGTTTTCTGTGTGATTAAATCAACTCCCCCACCTGCCCTGCTCAGATAAATCACTTCTTGCACTGATTTCTTTCTCGTGGCCACCTCGGGATGGCTCAGGCAGGTCACAGTGCTGCCAGGCATGGCTCCCTGGTGATTCCCCCTCTGCTCTCTCTGTGCAGTACTTGGATCAGATCAGGCAGACCATCTTTGAGAACCTGAAGATGCTGAACCATGCCCCCAGTGTGCAGATCCACGATGTCCCCTCTGACCTGCTCAGCTACGACCGCACGGATGAGCCTGATCCAGAAGAAAGAGGCTCTGAGGAAAACTACAGCAGGTACCAGCTCTTGTTCTGGAGAAATGGGCTTCCCTTTCCACCCCTGCTAGGGTGAGCAGGTGATCACATTGGGGTTGGAAGGGCCCTCCAGAGATCATTTAGTCCAACCCCTTGCTAAAGCAGGGTTCTCTGGAGCACATCACACAGGATGGCACCCAGGTGGGTTTGGGATGTCTCCAGAGAAGGAGACACCACAGCCTCCCTGGGCAGCCTGTCCCAGGGCTCTGTCATCCTCACAGTGAAGAATTTTTTCCTTATGTTCAGGTGGAACTTCCTGTGTTCCTGCTTGTGCCCATTGCCCCTTGTTCAGCAGCTGGGCACTGCTGAGCAGAGTCTGGCTCCATCCTCCTTGCACCCCCTTTAGATACCCTACAGGCATTAACAAGGTCTCCCCTCAGCCTCCTCTCCAGGCTGAACAGTCTCAGCCTTTCCTCATCAGGGACATGCTCCAACCCCCCATTCATCTTTGTTGCCCTCCCCTGGACTCTCTCCAGCAGTTCCCTGTCTCTCCTGAACTGGGGAGCCCAGAACTGGTCCCAGTTCTCCAGCTGTGGCCTCACCAGGGCAGAGCAGAGGGGCAGGATGAACCTCCCTCAATCTACTGGTCA